ACTGTAATGAAATATTTTTTTTATTTTCATGAAATATATTTAATACTCTTTGTAAAAATCCAACAAATAATTATGTTATATAAAGTATCACTTATATTTATTTATTTTGTCTTTAGAAAATATTCTTTAGAATAAGTTTATTTTTTTTTACTTGAAATATATAAAGAAATTAATCTTTTTAGAAAGTTGTTAGTACAATCAATGAACCTAAATAAAGTAGGTACAAACGTATTTGCTCATTTCATTTCAACGCCAGTTCAACTTAAGTATCTATTATATTTGTTGTCTTACTTGAAATTTAACAAAAAATAGTTTTCTTTTCACAATTGATTTGGACAGAAGGATTATTAACAAGTGATCATCGTGTATATGTTTTCAAGAATAAGGATGAAATAAAACCTTGTTATTCTTATTTATTGATAAATAAAAATACAAAAGATAATAAGAAATATTATTCTAAAATACAAAAATTTCAAAACAAAAAGAATAATTAGAAAATGACCATAGTATTTTAGTGAAGACTTCGATATTGTGTAAAGAATAAAAAAAAGTTTTAAATAATTTTCATCTTTATATTAGTTATTCGTTATATCGTAGGTTTGCATCAAGCTGAACCTAGACTGAACAGTTTAGACTTGGTCAGGTTTGAACTTTGTTAGACTTAGCATTAGTTTGACTTGGGTTCAGTCAGATCCCAAAATGAGTCTGACCAAGATTGAATAGCTCGAGCTTTGTAGACGTCTAGTTTCATTCTATGTCAATGCAAGTATCAAATTATTCAAGGCAATGAATTCTAGAGAATTTCTAATTGTCTTTTATTTTTTATTGAGCACTGTTCAATGTGCTGAATTCAGTATTCCTAGTTGTCATTATGGCTCTAAATGACTCGATTTACGTTGGAGAGAATCTTGTATCTTTTCTCAGTATTCATATGCCTCATTTACAAACTTTACATCGTTGACGACCAGATGATTTTTCTTGGACATCTAGTAAGTGTATTTTCGAAAGAAACTATGTAGATATGTATAATTTTTACTATTTAGAATGAGCTACTGCCTGCATGTCTTTAATATAATAATAAATTTTCATCAATTTTAGAATCTATATATATATCTCGTTTTGTGGAACTCCAATATATTCTTAAAGAGAATGCTGAATATAATTGGCAAGTCGAAGTTTTTCAGCTACATCATCCTCTCCAAAAAAAAAAAAATTTCTGTTCCACGTCCAGAAATAAATTAGACAGATTTATACTGCAACGATTAATTGCCTTGAGAAACAACTAAAATCTACAACATATTGCCCATTTCAGTATCTTCTGTTAGTTTAAGGGAGGCTAAGGAATTTATTCGAATTCCATATTTCATTCGCAAAAAGAACTGCGCTAACAAGACTTTTAGTTTATCCTTTTATTTCTGAATCTGAATTAAGGTCACAGAATTTATAAACCTTCTTAAATTATCGTTCATTGTTCAATTTATTTACTGAACAAGTGACATACTTTTTAAGTCTTCTTTTTTTTAGTTTTATTATTATTAGCGATAGCTATGAAATAAGTCATTGACAAAAACAAATAAATATCTGACTATAATCTCTGATTTAATCTTCGTAAAATTTGATTTTTTAGTTTTTCATACCTGTATGCTTGTAAAAAAGCGAAGAAAAAAAACCATTCAATTTTAATCAAACGAAAAGGCATACCATTTTTATGGATCTGTAATAAAACACATCATCTAGTTTAGTGTGTTGTTTTTTGGTCAAAAACTATTCTGTAAATTACAATAAGGTTCTATCCTATAAATTATTTTTCCTTCACTATGTGGAACATTCCAAAAATGATTTTCTTTTCTCATTTATCACTATCTATACAATATTCTTTTTTATATATCTTCCAAGAATAAGAATCAGTTACAATATTGTGTTCAAAAAGAAATGAAGCATTGGTATTTTACTTGAAAAGAAAAGAACTCAACATGAAGAAGATGATTATTTCTTGTTTAATAAGATAATAAAATTTATAACTTCGAGAACTGTCTATAATATTAATTCAAATTATTATTTATTTTTAGTTCGACTAAATATTCAATCAGGATACTTTTATCATATTGATGCTTTACAATGGGCACAAAATTTAGAAACATCAAAATCGATTGGTATGTAAATAAAAAAAACCAATACATAAAGAAAAAGTAATATTTTTGTTTAGTTCAAAAATGTTTTCCTCATAGTAGAATCGATATCGAATTATCAAGATTTTGTCTTCGGATATAATTTTCTATTTGTCATATATATATTTCTACATTAAACATAATTAACACTAGAATAATTTTTTTAAATTTTGGTTTATGTATACAAAATATTTGGTAAAAATAAAATTTTCTAGCAATGCCTGAATAATATGAAATTAAAGCAAATTCTTTTCCTCGTGTTTTTTTAATAAATGAGCAGACAGAGTTTGACAAGTTGATTTTGTTTAATATTTGTAGAAGATAGTTTTTCTCCTGATAGAATGTCTAAAAATATATATACTGTTATTTGATAACCAATCAAACTAAAAAATCCTCCTGAGAGGCCTAATGCTCAAGATTTTTTTTGTCCAGTTAAAATCTCAGCAAAACGATTAAAAAGAATTGAATTCATCTTTCCATCAATATCTAATAGCATGAATACTAAGAATTAGAATACACTGAGGTTGTCATAAAATACAATTGATAGTCTAGTAATGATAACTGGGATAGTTTCTTTTTTAAAATTCGATTTATTAACAAATTTTTTCGTTCCTTTAATTATGTGTTTAATTCGAGTTTTTTTTTTGTTGTTGATAATCTCATCAAAATACTTTCGAAATAACTTTTCACAGTATCAAAAAAAAGCATTTTTAATCTTTTGAATTCCTAATAAAATTTCGTTTTTTTTTCTTGAAATAATTTTAAAACATGATCTAGAGTTATTTCTTTTCAATATTTTCTAATTTATCACAAAATGTTTCATAAGGTTTATTATCGACTGTTACATCTTGAAATGGAATGAAACAATCTTCTTTTAATTTTACTAAACTATTATATTTTATTTGATTATTAAAACACTTGAATGATTTTCCTATTGCCATTATCAGTTATTTTACTCTCAATGGAATAATTTCTATGCGACTTGCTTGATTAAATTTCTTTACACTTTTAATAATTCTTTATAATTGCATTTAATACATAATGAATACATGAATGATTTTATTTTCTTTTTGCTTCATTAATTTTTAGAATTTTATAAATATCATTTTCTTCGACTTTTTCAAAAAAAAAATCACTATCAAAATTATTAATCTTTAATTCATTTTTAAATTTATTTGAATTTTCTTTTTTTATGTTTATCAATATGATCTAAGAGAGAAATGAAATAAAATATTTTTTCTGCTCTATGAAAAGCGGTTTTTGTTTTAGAGTTATCGCCTTATTCATTAATATTTATATGCAATTGTAATAAAACTGTCACGTCAACAATGTTTCCTTCAAAAAATCTTCTTTGCAAAGCAACTCCTAACTTAGACGTTTTATGTTTTTTTAAGTGTATAAGACTGGCTAGGCATAGCTTCTTTCTCTTTGCTCTTGCTTAAGAATATCTGCTATTAAAGACAAGATTTTTGAAGCATTTTCATGAAATTCCGAATGCAGACTAAACGAAAAATGTTTTTGAAAAATTTTTTATAATTTTAAAAATTCTATATTAAAATTAAGAAAATAATCAATAATTTTTGTAATACTTTGTTTTCCTTCAATTAATTCTAACTCGAATTTGAATTTTATTAATTATCATTTTTTTCGTTCTCTCGTTTCGATCATCTGTGATAGTTCATCTATTTATTGTTTCTTTTTAATTCTAGTTTAGTATTGTTACAGGAGTGAAAAATCGAAACACTTTTTCTGAATACAATGATCGATAATTGAAAAGTTAGATATCTAGAATTTCATATCAATTAAATGAAGATTTCTAATGGGTGTTGGTGTGGGTGTGGATGGGGTGTGGGGTGGGGTGGGTGTGGGTGAGTGTATGTATGCAGAAGCGTATCTCTTCTTGCACATACTCACACCCACACCCACCCACACCCATACCCACACCCACCAACACCCACCCACCCACACCCACACTCACACCCATCCTCCTAATAATATGATAGATATCAACGATGATGTTTTCATTTCCTACAATTGTCAGAGGACCAACACAAAAGCATAAACTAATTCAATTCTAATTTGTGGGAATAATCAATTTCAATCTGTCTGAGTTCACCGACCCAGGTCAAACAATCAGACAGTAAGATCTTGTAAGATCAGATGGAAATTGTACAGAAAATCGTCGTCTCAGAATTCTGTTGATCCGTCGTATTATCAGATTCTTGAAAGATCCTGTTACCTTGTAAGATCTTTCGCAAAGCTAATAGTATGATCTGATGCAAGATTTCTTAGACGACGATTTTTTGTCAGATTCTTGTAAGATTTCGTCCAGATTGCAAGATCTTATATGCATATGACAAGATCTTACGTCAGATTTTCCGACCTGGGTATGTGTTGCATCATGTAGGTCGTAATGAACTATGAATATGGTGGAAGGAGTTCGGGTCCTTCGCGCTTAGCTTAATGGAGATACTGTAGTTTTAGAATATTTTTAAGCATTTTGGCGTGATTCCTTTAGGAAAACTAAGGGAGGTGAAAGTTGAATTTTGACGTGAATCATTGTACAGACAAACGTCAATCAGATTAGTTTGTTGTGAAAGTTACAGATCGTTTAGATGTTTCTATTTTAAAATATAGTCATGAAATAGGATGTTTTTCATATCACTCATATATTGGGTTGATGCAAAAGTCTCCGCCGATTTTTTTGAAATTTTTTTAAAGCCATCTAGCGCTACTGTGCATGCGTGGCTTTCATACATATGATACCGCTTGTATCGTACTATGAAATGATATTAACGAATGTCCGATTTTATTTACATTCTGTATTAAAATATGTCAGAGATTCCTATTCATATTCGACATTGCATTTTGTATGAGTTCCAACAGGGGAACAATGCAAGTGCTGCTGTTCGCAATATATGTGCTGCACTTGGTGAAGGTGTTGTTGCTGATCGCACTTGTCAAGATTGGTTTAAAAAGTTTCTGGAAGGTGCCATGACATTGGAAGATCGTCCAAGATCTGGACGTCCTATGGAATATGATATTGAACGATTAAAAATCCTGATCAAAGACAATCCACAATTAACCACCCGTGAATTATCAGCTATGCTTGGGTGCGACCAATCCACCATCGATCGCCATTTGCATGAAATGGGAAAAGTCAATAAACTTGGAACATGGATTCCACACCAACTAACCTCGGACAACATACAGCAAAGAATCACCATATGCAACTTTTTGTTGTCAAAATGCAACCGACACAGATTTCTTCAACAGATTGTCACTGGTGATGAAAAGTGGGTCCTATATGTCAACCATACACGCAAGCGCCAATGGGTCAATCCTGAAGATTTGCCTGAACCAGAACCAAAAAACGATCTGCATCCAAAAAAAGTGATGCTGTCGATCTGGTGGGATTTTGAAGGTATTATTTACTGGAAACTTTTACCACCTAATACCACTGTCGACTCGAAGCTGTACTGCCAACAACTTCAAAATGTGAAGGTTGCACTACAAGGAAATCGTTCAGAAAGACGAAAAGTTCGACTCCTCCATGACAATGCGAAACCTCATACGGCAAAAGTAACCCGCCAAAAGCTGGAAGAATTAGGGTGGGAGGTCTTACCCCATCCACCATATTCACCAGATCTGGCACCTTCTGATTATCATCTGTTCCGGTCGCTCCGCAATCATCTGGTGAAAAAACAGCTGGATGATCAGGCACATGTAAAATCGGACCTCGAAAGTTTCTTTTCGTCTTTATCTAAGAAATTCTTTGAAGATGGCATTCTCGATTTGCCTAAAAGATGGGAATATGTCATAGACAACAACGGTGTATATGTTGTTGATCAGTGATACTTTGTTTCAATAAAATCATGAAACATCAAAAAGAAAAAAAATCGGCGGAGACTTTTGCATCAACCCAATACATCAGCAGATTTCGATGTCCTTATTTCAGAATTGAAGTAATCAACATATTTAAAACTTTCACAATAAACTATTGTTCGTGAAGACTATCTAACTACAAAATTTAAAGTCGAAGCTCAAATATCACATTTTCTAGTAAACTTGATGAGACCACGTTATTCTATTGTAAAGTATAGTAAAAATACAATATTCTGGCAGTAAGAAACTAAGGGGCTCAACACTTGTCTGGATGTTTCTAACTCATTACAGTCAATATGATGCCGATTGTTGTAATTCAATAGTGATTGAATTGCCTTCATAAGATCAATTTCAGTGTATACGAAACCGATATGATACATACTTGAAAATAGGATTTGTCAAAAATTGTAATAGCATTGGTGATAAATTTGTAAACCGATATTACTCAGATTACGATATGAACCAAGAGAAATATCCTTAGCACAGTTCTGAGTGTTTTATACTCCTCAGAAACACGATCAAAGATATATCTTTATAGTATCCGAGAAAGAATAGCACATGCGAAACCCATCATTGTGAAAATCAATCCCGTCAAAGTTTGTCTACAATACCGATGTATATTTGTAACAAAAACAAAGAAGAAGGATAATCTATAGGTTACAAATGACATGTATATTTTATTACCAATCAAACATTGACAAACTGGACCAGTAGCGTTACCGCCACCCTCAGTATAGATGTTCATTAGTACTCTACAATTGAATTGTCTTAGTCAATAACAACATAAAACTCAAATAAATATGGAATTCTTTTATTTAATATAAGTGAATCAGAAAATAATTGATGATATATTTGATTTTCTTAATCGTCTCGTTTTTTTGAGAATATCAAGTCTATGAACTTATCGTCATACACTAAGTATTCAAGAATAATATAGAAATAAGCGTGATATGGATCAACAATTAAAATGTGAACAGAAAAACAAGGTCAATGAGTGGTTTAAATTATTGATTCAACACCTCCATCCACAGGTATATACAATAAAAATTTTTATTATAGAAATGTAAGTTTTATTTTTGGTTTTAACGCTTTATCAATATTACATTTGTTTTCGTTATGTTAAACCATTCATTCAAACGACTTTCGATAGAAGGGACAAGTAGAAATTCTTTATTTTTTTTTTGTTTTCATAAAATTTTTCTGATAAATATTAATTTTAGAGGTCGTCTGAAACACATTATTTCTTTTATAGAGTATCTACATTCATTTTTCAACGTTCAGTAGTAGTTTGAATGCTTTTTTGGAAAATGTCCAGTAGAAAAAAAGGAACAATTGAGATTAGAAAAAGCAATCCTATTTTCAGGAACCAAAAAATGTTCAATCAGTAGAAGGTCTTGAATGAAATGTTATTGATCATTGGCAAAATACATTTTGGACTTATTGAAATCAAAGAAAATGACTCTTATAGGGATCATCATTCAAATGAAGTCACTGCAACTGTTGAAATTGTCATGTAATCGTTAAAATTTTCAAATGAATATTCAATCGGTTAACATTCAAAAATTAAATCATCCATCGAGCGAACAAATAATTATTTAGATCATATTTGAAATCTTTGGTAGGACTTACTGTATTGCTTGGTTGTGCAACTGAAGATGAGTTTAAAGGCTTAGCTAAACAGATAATCAAAAAGAAAGCTACCAGTTGGATCACAACATGATGTGATAGATTGGCTTTTATTATTATAAGAAGAAGATTTTCACAATACTTTTGATATTTTGAAAAGATTTATAATAAGCATCTTGGCTTCAGAATTGTTAAAGAAAACTTTGAATACATATTTAAATCAACAGACAAAAAAAATGATGTAATTACTATTTGTGATCGACTCGTTTACATGCGCCATCGTTCAGCGTTGCCACTATCATTATTGCAAGTGTATAGAGTATGGTTTCCTTTTCTTAGTTCTTATTTGAAGCCTTCTGACATTGTAAGATCTCAACGTCATTTGTAGCTTATTTTTGGATGCATCTCGATATATCCAGACCCTTCGCAACAATATAACGCCTATATGAGGGTGTGGGTGTAGGTTGGGTGTGGGTGTGGATTGGGTGTGGGTGTGGGTGTGTGGGTATGGGTGTGGGTGTGGGGTGTGGGTGTGGATGTGGGTGTGGGTGTGGGTGTGGGTGGGTGTGGAGTGTGGGGTGTGGGTGTATGTTTTAATGATCTCTTCATTCACATCCACACGCACCCTCAAGTTCTAACTTTCAATAATAATAATAATAATAATCGGATAGAAAATGAATAAAGAATAAATATGAACAAGTCAAATAAACACTAGTACACTAGGAAAGAGAAATAAAAGCAATTTTTTTCGAAATACCGAAATAAGAGAAAAATGCTTTTCTAATCATCGGTTACTCATACTAGATTCACTGAAGATGTTGTACATCTTTTTCAGTTATTATATGCACAGAATTGTGTTAGAATGTTACCAACATTGATATTAACGAGGGAACATTCCCAAGTGATACCAGCCGTTTCAGCTCATATTGTGCCCAAAAGTAGATCCCAGTAAGACTAGAGAAAGTCTAAAATGGTTCGTGCCATTGCGCCTTTGGAGCCGAGTTATGCCTAATTTACTGAATTTTCGGCCCTTTTTAGGGTACTGATCGAAAAATCAAATTACGAAGTTTCCATCTGAAATTTCTAACATAGACAGATATAGTTACACCTAGAATATCCCGAAAGTTTCAGCCGAATAGAATGTTCCTTTGTCGAGTTATTGCATTTTCAATTAAACTCGACTTTTGTGAAATATCTGTCGCAAATGGAGTCTATGGGCTTTTTTATTTCAAACTGAATTCTAAAATCAGAAAAACCACACCAATTTCTTCCGAATCAAACGTTTCTCGCTTGATACTACGTAGTCTCACTAAAAACCCTTAGTCCCCCCTAAGCCTGCAAAGTCCCCCTTAGTCCCCCCCACAAAAAGCTTAGTCCCCGCTTAGTCCCCTGTGCAAGGGACTAAAGCCTATAGTACACAAAACCACAAGCACACCCTCACCCTCACTCGCGCGCCCACACCCGCACCATGGGTGTGGGTGTGTGTGTGGGTCCCAGACCAACACCCACACCCTCAGTCACCTCCCCCCTCACTCCTAGACTCACGTTTCAGTTTGAAATCAAGTATTATTTTTATTTCATAAATTCAGACTGAAATTAAATAGCCCATAGTATGAAAATTCAGTAAATTAGGCATAACTCGGCTCCAAAGGCGCAATGGCACGAACCCTTTTAGACTTTCTCTAGTCTTACCGAGATCTACTTTTGGGCACAATATGAGCTGAAACGGCTGGTATCACTCTGGAATGTTCCCTCGTAAGTGATTCAATTATTCGTAAAAGTTCATATATGTTGTAGGCAAAATTGAAATTCAGGCAAATTTAAAATTTGCCTAGGCAAAATTGAAATTTTAATTTCGCCCAGTCACAATTAAAATTTCAATTTTGACTAGACATTGCTTGGGCAGAATTGAAACTTCAATTTTGCTTAGGCAAAATTAAAATATAGCTAGGAATAAATTCATACAATGAAAAAATCAAAATCTGAATAGAAAACTTTATTATTGAAAAATATTTCTTCATTTAACTAAACAATTCCAAGAGAATACATTTCGTCAAAATCTTTTAATCTGTTCACCCATATTAGTCTATTTTATTTTTGATAAAGAACGGGATTGTATGAATTTATTCCTAGCTGTATTTTAATTTTGCCTATCAAAAATTGAAATTTCAATTCTACCCAAGCAATGTCTAGTCAAAATTGAAATTTTAATTTTGCCTACAACATATATATTTCAATCTCAAATAGGGTATGGTGTTTCTTTTTTTTCCCTTAACAAGAGAAATAATCAAAAGTACTGAATGTAGTTTTTTTTTCTTATTGGGATAAAAAATTTATAAATAAGTTAAAAAGTTCCATTGGTCACTAGAACTTTTCAAGTTATTTTTTCGATAAGTTAGATATAATCTATTTCGGATGGAATAATGTTTTTTTTTCATACTTATGCTACTATGTAGAGAGGGATAGATACTATCTTATATCACAGCCTGTTAGGTGGCTCCGTAACCAAATCCAGGGAGATTTCTTGTGCCTGTTATGGCGAAAGCAGTGTAGTACTCTGGAAGGCCGTCTGTTCGTAGGTCCCTGTCGTCATTATTGTACGATATGCCTACAATCATGCCCAACCAGTCCGGTGTGGTCCGCTCTGCGTGTACCCATATCGGGCGTACAGGAAGTCTCCCTGGTCGCGTGCATGCGCGAGAATGAGCCGAGAAAAACCGGAAAAGTGAAGTGAATTGTAATGCAAATAAATTTATTAAGCAAATCGAAAAAAGACAAATTACACGTTCTTTCGAATTTTTTCTAATGTTTCTTTAAATTCCAAAACATGAGGATGATTTGAAGGTTATTTTTCGTGAGCAATTTCTATCGCTTGTTGAACATTTTTTATTG